ACTTTTACACCACTGTGATCACCATTCTTTTCTCTACAGGTTGACTGGAGCAAAACATCAAATCGCGACTCGCGCCGGAGAAGCCACCTCACCCGAGAGCTTCGCCGCTGGTAAGTCTCGATTTTTCGTGATTTTTTTGGCCCACCGAGGGCCCTAGGGGTGCTTTATTGCAGGAATCAATACGAGTTTGGCCGAAAATGGCCAACCCAAGGCGGATCGCCGCCGTGCCGGAGTTTTCGAGAATGGCCAAATAGGCCCTAGGCCTGATTTTGAATTTTTTTGGGACATGTGTAGGTAACGGAAGTGTATTTCAGTTCCCAAAAAAAAATTCAGGGAATTTAGGGACAGCCCGTAGACGCGGTGAGAACCCGATTTCAGACTCCTAAATAAGTAAGGATTTTTCACCCTATTTCCTATCACGGTATTAAAGTTCAATAAATAATAAAACGGCATTTCATGAAATAATACATGTGTATAATTAATTAAGGTTACTAATGGAGCCCGAATCTGATGTATTTTTCGGTCAGTTATTGTTTGATCTATTTTACAGTTTTAAATGCAATATGGTATTTGATGTATTTATTCTATGGTTTTGTATACATAAATCACGGTTTCGTTTATTATGGTTTGAATTATTGAGAACCTGTTATTGTCTTGTTTGGTGTTCATTACTGGTTTACGTGTTTATTTTTGATTGGATAATTGAGACAAAAAAAGTTGGAAAAAGGTATGTGAATTGATAAATGGATAATGTCGACAGCCCAACTAGATATCTTGAGAGATGGTGGACGGACCGGGTCCGTAGGGAACCCTACCGGGAACGTGGTCTCTCATATCGGACGAAGTATGGAGACCTTATGTGTTTTGGCGCCCATACCGGACGGAGTATGGAGACGGCTCGTTTCACCCTCATACCGTACGGGGTATTGAGGTTTATGTTTTTTTTTTTGCGCCCATACCGGACGGGGTATGGGGACGGCCCTGGAATCAAGTTATCAATGTGAATAATTCACGTGTAGCGGGGACTCCCTATGGATCCCCATGGATACTAGTAGGCTGATAAAAGAAGAAAATTATTGTCTGATGATTGAAAAACGAGAGTATGATATGTGTTATGTTACAGAGTCTGTACGATTTTATGATGTTTATGATGTTATTGTGTTTCATAAATTATCTTCATGAATCTCACCGAGGTAAGTGGACAGTAAAAGTTTTTATTATTAAATGAGTTTATTATAAATTATGCTCTATTTGTCGTTTTTGTTTTCTACCAACCTTTACTCCTTTAGCAATAAGATAGTGTGATGTCTTTGCTGGGGTAGTGTAGCTCATTCCTTACTTAACCATTTCAGATCAGGAGGTCTTGGTTCCCGAGCCCGTCCCACAGGAAGACGGCGAGTAGATGACTAAGGACTTCATAAATTTATTTATAGCATTCATTACTAGTATTTACGTTAGTTGGGTTATTCTTTCATACGTTTAATACGTTTCAGTTATTGTGTAAGAGATATTAATCAAAATTTTTATTTCGCTTCCGCACTTATAACTTTTTAATATATATATTTCATTTTTATTTCTGGGGCCGCTACACATAGTACAATATCTTCTTCTTATTATAGAATTAATTATTTGAATTTAAATTATATTCTTTATATTATTTTTAAAAAGATTACTTATCAATAAAATTATAGAGTTACATATCAAATGTCTTTCAAATTACAACTTAAAGATGATATCTTTAAAGTCATTAGGGATAATTTTTTAATTGTCTTTCTTCAAGATTGATGAGAACTTATAATGAATATAAAACTCCTAAAACCCAAAAAAGAATATACAATTATTAGATTCATGCATGTGTGTGTGTATATATATACAAGAAAAAAGCACCTAAACAAGTCTCTAAAAGCTTAGAAGTACATATATTCACCACTTTTTCAAGTAACCAATCCTTTTTCTTTTCTTGAATTTTTCATTTTAAAGATCCTACCTTTCTAAAGCGAATATTCTAAATCTAACCAACTTCAGTATGATATATATATATATATATATATATATATATAATGGCTTAATTACATATATTACTTCATGCTTTCCTTTTTTAAACCAAATTCAGCCATTACAATCATAACGATCATAAGATAAGTCTAACATTTGTGGAAGGTAAAAAATTGAGAATTCTACTTGAATTTAGATTTTTCTACCCAATCTTTCTCAATTTTGCAAAAATCCCAAGCATTTACCTCCAGTCGGCCCTAAGCCATGCATCATAACTGGCATGATGCATCATAAAAGGCAAAGGAGCTTCTCCTAAATCCTAACTTACAATTACTTATGTTTGGAACACATCTAAAACTTTAGAAAAATGTATTTACAAATCTAACTTCAATTAAATTTCTAACAAATTGTTCCAATTCTCTATAAAATTTTACATGCGCTCAATTTTTATTTTTTAAGGATTTCACCATCTTCTAATTGAAATAATGACTATACAAACAAATTCCACATATATTTCTACTTAGTAAGTTCTCTTTGCTGTATGTGGTGCTCTACTTCCTGTATGAGAATTAAGATTCAAATTCATTCTGAAGCTTTTCTTGAGGTTTGGTCTTTGCTGCAAGTACAACATCATCAAGAAATCCTCTCTGTGGAAATTCTTCAGGCACAAGACTCTGATAAATTTCAAATTGTTCCGCAGCTTTCTTCTTCTTATCCAGTAAGCTATAGATGATTCCCTGCATTAAATTTCAATATCAAAACATTTTCTTTATTTCTTTCCTTGTAACTTCTAATTGCAGTCATAACCCTTGTTTTTGCCTTCTTATTTTCTACTTATATATAATTTATGCATAAAAATATACAAGCAGTTGAAAATGAAAGTAAGATTTGGAAAATGACGGCATTCGAGTTCAATAACCCACTTTGCATCTCTTTGGGCTAAAAGAGCTCATGGATATTTCAGCATGTCTCTATGGCTACATTTTGCAAAGAAATTCAGTAATTTTTGTACTGATTTCTTGGTCTTTTGTTTAAAAAATATCTTTCTTTTTTGTTTAGGAGGATCCATTTACATGTACCTTTCTTCTCCCGATAGAATCTCCTTTCTCTGATAAAAAAAAATGGCATAATCTAGAAAATGAGTTATTTCCAAATTGATGGCATATGAGTTCAATAACCCACTTGGCATCTCTTTGGGCAAAAAGAGCTCATGGATATTTCAGCATGTTTCTATGGCTACATTGTGCATAGAAATTCAGTAATTTTTGTACTGATTTCTTGGTCTTTTGTTTTAAAAATATCTTTCTTTTTTTGTTTAGGAGGATCCATTTACATGTACCTTTCTTCTCCTGATAGAACCTCCTTTCTCTGATAAAAAAAAATGGCATAATCTAGAAAATGAGGAGTTATTTCCAAATTGATGGCATATGAGTTTAATAATCCACTTGACATCTCTTTGGGCTAAAAGAGCTCATGGATATTTCAGCATGTCTCTATGGCTACATTTTGCAAAGAAATGCAGTAATTTTTGTGCTGATTTCTTGGTCTTTTGTTTAAAATTTTTTTTTTTTTTTTGTTTAGGAGGATCCATTTACATGTACCTTTCTTCTCCCTATAGAATCTCCTTTCTCTGATTAAAAAAAAAAAATGGCATAATCTAGAAAATGAGGAGTTATTTCCAAATTGATGTCATATTTTCAATATTATTTTCAAATCTTATTTCAGTTTCAATAATGATATAGGTTTTTATGTACCAAGTAAATACAAATTTAGAAAATAAAAAATAAAAAAAAATGTTTTCTACAATTAAATGACACTTAATTTCCCAAAATAAACATATCAAAAGCCATTGGTACGTTTATTACAAGAAATTAATATATATATATATATGTAGTATTTGAATCTTAAATAAATTATTGCAGGCACCAATTTTACCCAAGAGCATTCTATGTTAAGGTAGCTAGTAATCAGAGATTAAGCTGCAGCAAGCATGTAGCATAAGCAAGCATACCTGGCAAAGATAAGGCCGGAAATCTCGAGGGTTTTCATTTACTAGATCTTGGAACTTCTTCAAACCTTCTTCCAACTCCCCCTGAAAGTCATACAAGTACTCATATATCAGGGATAGAAGAATCCTGAGGCTTCTCATTCTTAATTTTGTTAAAAGTCTCACCCACATACTTATGCATTAAAAAAGATATTCATTAAATGTATACACACACATATATATATATAAACACATGCCATAAAACTACACAAACACATTGGATTTTAGACCTGGTGCAGTTCTAAACAAGTAAGAGTTGAGTACATTAACAAACAACAAAAGTAAAGATGGATTTGAGGACATGAGAAGTTGGCAATGATAATAAGGAACCTTTACTACATGCATTTGTGCAATCAAAATCTTTATGCTTCTCTCCTCAGTTTTTCTCTTCTTATGCTGAGCAACATTTAGAGCCTTATTCAGCATCTCAAAGACAGCTGGTCCTTCATGATTTTTGTGCATGACCATTGCTAAACCCTGGAGAAGGTGCCCAAGAGAGTTTCAGGAGACAGTTTTATTAATGCATCGGTACTAAAGGGCTCAGAAAACAGTATCAAAATGAGTAAAGATCAGTAATTAAGTGGATAATTAAGCAATCTTTTTTTTAAAGCTGCACTCGAGGAGCTTGACACTAGCGTTATATTGCAAATTTGCAACGAAAGAATTCAATAAATTAAGACTAAACTTTGTAGTCCACATGCTACAATGACCAGTTAATTGAAAATCAGCAATTAAGAGCATCGAAAAACAAGGAATAGCACTTTTTACGATCCTTGGGAAATCTTCACTTCTACTTTCTCCTTATGATTATGAGAGTAAAGAGTATTCCATAGTTTGGAGGATGGCTATTTTTGCAGTTCTTTGGATATATATTAGGAGAGACATGCTAGAAATTTTTAAGCATCATTCCTATTATGTTTCTTAAGTTTGTTCAAATTCTTTCTTTCGAAAAAAAAGTTTGTTCAAATTCTAATTTTACAAAATAGAAGGCAGGGTACAAAATCAATATGATGGCATTTTAAATGAAAATGGCATTTTAGTTCCAAATCAAGTCCATGTTGAACTCAAACTGTGGGCTTTTTATTCCTTCTTGAGAGGTGGAAATACAAAATTCATTATTATGGAATTAAATATATGAATATAGTTGATTTAGCTGTACACTAGATGTGTAAATAAGTAACTTCTACATATTAAATAACTAAATCTAGAAATTGAATAAGAATAGAATAGGTGTTAACCAAATGCAACATTACATACTTGTGGGATGGGATCATATGCTTAGCTTCTCCTGGGGGAAAGGTGCATGGTTTCTGTAGCGGCATTCCTGATGCGGAAGACCAATTATAATGGAATTTTTAGCATTAGAAAGTGTTTTATTATGTTTATGCAATTTTTGTATATTCTTGCATTATATTGCCCATTTAGTGACATATATAAGCTAACAAGGAATTTTACCTAGATTTATGAGTTATTTTGTAACTCTCAGTTCATTTTCTTTAGGCTAAGATGGCATCTTACTAGAGGTAGAATGTTATAGAACCTTATTTTGTATTGGTCCTTTAGGCAATGGGGTTTGAATGACTCAGAGAAGGTGACCACCACAACGTACCAACTTTTGCCTTCTAATGGGTCTAGAGATGGTGACCAAAGGAGGAACCAAACTTCAGTTGCCAACTTGTTAAGATGTCAACTTGGCCTTCTCATAGATCTAGAGATGGTGGCTAAAAAAAGATGACAACCATAAGTTAATTTGTCCCACCTATGGTAACAATATCTAGTGGCCGAATGTCTAGTCACCAAGAGTGCTACTGTCTGATCCTTGTCTCTCACCTATATAAAGAGATTGGATGTAATGAGAATGAAAATGGTTATTGGAATAGAATTGAAAATTCCTTTCTCTATATTATGGTTTTCTCTCCCTTTTTTAACCCACTTTGTTTCCTTTCCTCCCCCATTTTTCCCCTCCATTATTCCCTCATCTTTCTCTTTTTTCTCTTCCCCTCTTAATCTCTTCTTATTCTATCTTAAACTTGTTGAAACAGTGCTGTCCATTACTTATTTACTAGTGATTCTGAAATTGTCAAAGTATGCTCTACATCAATTCTTTTGAACAATTCAAAGGGATTGAGCTGCCATTTCGTATTGATGTTGTTTTCATTCAATAATCTTTCTTTTGCTTCTTATGCTTGTTCCTTAATGTTTCTGTTACTTTGAAGGATAGTATATCCTCCTTTGTGTTGTGTCGCCTCTTTCCTTATCTAACATATTTCTTTTCTCATTGCCAACAAGATTCTCATTGCATACAAGAAAAGCAACTAAATTCTTAGAGGATGTTACTGAGCCAAACTGAAAAAGATACAGAGGACCATCAAAAATTATGTATTAACTACTTTTGGCAGAAAAAGCATTCTCCATAACATGGTCTACTATTTATCCAAGTGATATTAGAATCCTTGACTACACAACAGATATCAGAACTAGATAGCAACTGCGACAGCTTCATACATTGCCATGACCAGTTTTAACAGAAATGCTAAAAGCTATCTAAAAAAGTCTACAATTTGTGATAGGTACTCAGCAATTGACGAGAAGACTGCCCATTCAGGGTAGCCACAAGATTTTCTCATTCAAGTGAAACAAAAAGTTGATGTAAAACATAGTACTTGGAAGCTGACGAACAAGAACCCCAGAAGATAAATTTGTCCTTTGAAACAACAAACAACCAAAAACACTAGGAAATGATGTTTCAGAATATAAAAGACTAGGAGACCTTCTCAAGCAGTATGAGATGATTTATCATGCTTATTATCAGTAATTTCTTTCTGTAACATTGAATTAAGCTTCACCAATCTGGCTTTATTCAAACCCGAAAAGACTTTACCTACAGATAGAAGGATAAAATTTGTACTTATGTACTGAATTCTTAGCACCCAAACCGAGGCCAACCACGGAGAGAAATATAATATCACTAGAATGTAACTGAGTGACTTCAGATATCTCCTCCACCTTTCATCTTCAGTCTAAAATGTTGCGCTTATGAGAGAGTATTCATATTCTGTCTAAAAAAAATTACCATGTCTAAAAAATATAAATAATGCTGCCAAAAAAAATGAAAATGAAACAAAATCCAAAACGTCAAGAAAGAAGTCATACGTGCAAGGCTCTAAGCAAAAGAGGCCTGCTCTCCAGAATCTCATTGAACAATCTTTTGGCCTTGCTAATTTGTCCCATCATTTCGTAAGAAAGCGCCTGCAAAAGCCTCCATTCCACCTCCTCTGGGTCTACGTCGATTAGCCTCTCCACATACTCCACAGCTTCCTTTGTCTTTCCTCTCCTCATCTTCCCGTACAAAATCACCTTCAGTGCCTCGAGATTCCTAGGTTCTCTTTCCAAAATCTTCTCAAACATCACCTCATTCTCACTTTTCTCCTCCTTCTTACTCTGGTTTTCTTCTGAACTTGCACCAGAACTTCTAATTTGTGCATGTAACGCCATACTTGGCTTAGTATTAAACAACCCCATGAAAATGATTGACCAAACAAGGACCATAACTACTTTCTCCGATAAAATATTCACGAAACTTCGCTGCTGTAAGAGAAAAGAGCTTAGACGTGACAAATTAGATTTTGGTGTGAATCCAATGTGTGATTGGGTAAGTTGTACGGAAGCAATCTGACGTTTGCTTCGTTGAAATGGCAATGCGTGTTGTTTGGGCATGTTGGGTGGACTGGTTAATGGGGGGTTTAGGGATTTGCGGGGGTTATGATTTAGGAATTCTGATTTCTGAAATTCTTTTTGAGAAACCAAAACGAAACTTCTCAACGAACCCATTTGAATAATGATCAAAAACCGTGAAAGGTAAGATTTCTGTAACGAGATTGCTCACTGACAGACAAGTGACCAGCAAGAGACATTACATTTTCCAGGAGGCATCAGGTTTCTAGTGCAGAGATGGAGAAAGAAATGATTATGTCTAAGTCCGACAGTCGGAGCTCAATTTCAAAATGCAAGATGCAAAACGATGTCGTAGGGAAAGGATTATCAAAACAAAAGCCAACCCAACTGAGTTCTTTCTTCCCAAGCAGGAGTCTCTCTATTTTTTAAATGGATAAATTACGAAAATACAAATAAAAAAAATGTCACTTTACAAAGATATACTTAAAATTTGTTATTTAAATCCACAAATTATTAATTTACTAATTTTAAATTTTACTTTATTTTAAATTAAACAGTTGTTATTTAATATTTTAACTATTCATAGTGTTACATTTAGATTCTATAAAAAAAATCTCATTACAATTTAATCTTTAAATATAAAGTTTTCATAGAAAATAACAAAAAAAAAAATTGTTTGGCCTATAAATTATTTTAATGAATTTTTAAAAATTATATAACTAAATATTAATCTTAATAAAATAATTAAAAGTATCTCACTTAAGCAATAAATATGATAATAATATATCTTACAAAAAAAAAATATGCAATAATTATTTTTTTAATTCTCATTCCTAAATATAAATATTACGATTATTTAATTCAACTAAAAAGTTTTGTATAATTTTCTTTTTATATTATCACTCAACTTAGACTACCTTCAATAATTTAAAAAATTCTTAACGGTAGGTATTTGTTATTTTTTACATAATTTGTTCTCTTAGTTGAGATGTTTCTTCTGTAATTTCAGTGTATCTTCACATTTTTTTTAAGTAAATATTGTTTTTTTTTATCAACTAACATATTAAGTTGAATATGCTTCTTTAATAAGCAGTTTTGGATTTATAGTTGATAATAATCGTTTATATAATTTCATGTCTCATGCTGAAATCTATAATACTAGAGAATCTATTTTTTATTAGGTTTTCGGGCATGTTATTAAAACCTTGATGAGGGAGAAGGAATATTTCCACATTCAAGGCAATCTCTTTTTTCTCAATCTTAAAGGATAGTAGGTTTTTTTTTTTTTTTTTTGTCTTTAATTTTTGGCTTCTCTTTAATAAGGAATTAATAAGTTTGTTATCTTAGGCAAGATGCTGACCATAAGAAACATGAAGTTTTGAACATAGTTAAAAAGGATTAAGTTCTCTACCTATTATTAATGCTATCGTCTCTATTTCTTTCTAGAAACTAAGTATTTTTAGTATAATATAGTGAAATGTGTTAGATATTGTTGAAAAAATTCTTCATTTTTTTTTTTACATTGGCTATAATGACATATATTTTTTATTTCTTCTACTACTAATAAAATTATCTAAAATTAATTGGTTCATGAGAAAAAATTATTATCAAATATAATTTTAAAGTAGCTACATAAATTTCACATATTATTACGTATAGAGTATTATGAATTAATATTTTATATTTGATTGGTCAGTATGATGTTTTGGGTCACTTGACCCACATATGAATTCTGGGGAAGATAGATCGAATATTTATTTCTTGTAATAAATGTATGTCTTTTAGAATTGTATGATAGATTATATCTCAATCGTTGATCTACCAGTTACCTAATAAGCTTGTCCAACTCTTCCAATGAGAAATTATTTATGTGTTTAGTTGGCACCATTACCGGCGGCGGTGCTCTCAGGTGTGGCGGCTCTCCGGCGAGATTCGTGTTTTGGTGATTTGGCTCCGATCAATCTGTAGAGAAAAGAATGGTGATCACGGTGATATAAAAATTGTATCAAACGGAGGCCGGGAAGGGCCTCATCAGAGGCAAAAACTGAGGAGGGGCGCGGCAACGCCGCTGGGTTTCGACCATGTTTTCCGGCCGTTTGGCCAGGATTTTGGCTCCGATTTGGCCACAGGGGAACTCAGCATTGAAAAACGAGTCGGGGTATGAAATTTACCTCGATCGACGGTCGAAAAACTCCCCGGTGTGGCGGCGGGTGGCGGCGGCCGGCTCCTCCAGCGTCTGGTTCGTCTTCTCCGGCGAGGGCAGGCGGCTAGGGTTTTTGTGGTCAGGTGTGGGGGTTTTATTTATACCATTTTGCCTTTTAATCACAGCCGTCCATTTTGATTAAATCTGGGCCGTTCGTACTTGATTGAATCTGGGCCGTCCGTGCGCGCGGGGACGCATCTGGGCCGTCCGATCGCGCGCACGCGGATCGCCCATGTGGCCCGTTCCCGGGTCGACGTGATCTTGCCACGCGGCAGGTCCTGGTTGGCCAGGGCTGCTGATTGGGCCGCTGACGTGGCTGCTGACGTGGCGCTGACGGGGCACAATTTTTTTAAATTGCGTTTTGACCCCCGGTTTCCGATTTTCTTTTCAAAAATACCCCCAGAATCCTAATTTTCACCACTTTTTCCCAAAATCAATTTCAATTAAATCCAAATAATATTTTTACCCAATTTTATCATTATTATTATTATTATTTTTATTAAAAAAATTAAATTATATTAAATTAATCAATTAAAATAATAAAATTATAAAATAAACTAAATAAAAATAATAATAATAATAATAATAATAATAATTAAAAAATTAGTGGGCGTTACAACTCTCCCCCCTTAAAGAAATTTGGTCCCCCAAATTTGCCTCTTACTCTTGGTCGAACAAATGGGGATACTGGGCTCTAAATTCTGATTCCAGTTACCAAGTAGCCTCCCTGGGCGTGTGGTTTTGCCACACGACCTTTACAAATGATATTTCCCGGTTGCGGAGTATTCTGCTCTCTCGGTCCGTGATACCGACCGGTACTTTTTCATAAGACAAGTCCACTTGGAGTGGAAGCGGTTCATGAGCCAAGACATGAGAAGGGTCTGGGTTGTACTTATGTAGCATAGATACGTGAAACACGTTGTGAACTCGGGAGAGCTCGGGAGGCAGTGCTAGTCTGTAGGCAGCAGTACCAATCTTGTCTAAGATTTCGAAGGGTCTAATATATCGGGGGTTTAATTTTCTCCTCCTGCCGAACCTACTAATTTCCTTGAAAAGAGTGACCTTAAGAAACACACGGTCGTCTTTCTCAAACGCTAGGTCTCTCCTCCAAATATATGCATAACTCTTCTGCCTACTCTGAGCTGTCTGAATGTTCTTCTTGATTTTAACTATCTTGGACGTGGTCTCCTCTACCAACTCTGGGCCGAACAATCTTCTATCGCCCACTTCCTCCCAACAAATCGGTGACCTGTACGGGCGCCCATATAGCGCCTCATATGGAGCCATGCCGATACTTGCTTGGTAGTTGTTGTTGTAGGCAAACTCTATCAGGGGTAGATGGTCGTCCCAATGGCCCCCGGAGTCAAGGACACAAGCTCGGAGCATATCCTCAAGCGTACGAATTGTCCTCTCTGATTGTCCATCAGTCTGGGGGTGGAAGGCAGTACTAAGAGACAGCTTTGTTCCCATAGCTTGCTGGAAGCTACTCCAAAACCGAGAGGTGAACCTGGGATCCCTGTCAGACACTACTGTTACTGGAACCCCATGCAATCTGACCATCTCCCGGATATATATCCTTGCCAACTTGTCCAATGAATCGGTCATCCTGATGGCTAGGAAGTGGGAAGACTTGGTAAGTCGGTCAACGATTGCCCATATGGCATCGTGTCCTGAACGCGCCTTGGGTAGCCCCGATACGAAGTCCATGGTGATATGTTCCTACTTCCATTCCGGGATCGGTAAAGGCTGAAGTAACCCACCTGGGCACTGATGCTCTACCTTGACCTGCTGACATACCAAACATTTAGATACAAAGTCGGTTATGTCTTTCTTCATCCCATGCCACCAAAACCGGGGTCGTATGCTTTGGTACATTTTGGTGCTTCCTGGATGCATGGCAAACTTCGAGCCATGGGACTCTGTCATGATGTCCCTTTTTAACTCACTGTCATTTGGGACACACATCCTGTCTTGGAAACGAAGTAGTCCATTGGCAGATATTTGGAATTCTAAGTTCCCTCCCTGTTCTGCATCCTTCTTGCGGGCTACCAGGGCAGGGTCAACTGTTTGGGCTTCCCTTATCCTCTGAATTAACTCGGGCTGGACTGTCAGGCGGCCCAAACATGTGACTCTCTTCAGATCATGAAGTCGAACCTGTTGTGTGGCCCCAATTGGTCTGCATTCTGAAACTATCAAATGAGCTAAGATACCTGCACTTTTCCTGCTGAGGGCATCTGCTACCACGTTGCCCTTACCCGGATGGTATAAGATGTCATAATCATAGTCCTTAAGGAGTTCCATCCACCTTCTCTGATGCATGTTGAGATCCTTCTGAGTGAATGTGTTTCAAACTCTTGTCATCGGTATAGATCTGAAATGTCTCTCCGTACAAATAATGGCGCCAGGTTTTGAAGGCATGAATGATTGCGGCAAGTTCCAAGTCATGGGTGGGATAGTTCTTCTCATGATTCTTTAACTGTCTGGACCCGTATGCTATAACCTTTCCATGTTGCATCAGGACACAACCCAGACCCAGATAGGAGGCATCACTATAAACTGTATATCCTCCCGATCCACTCGGTATGGCTAGCACAGGTGCAGTGGTCAGCCGCTTCTTTAATTCTGAAAAACTTCTTTCGCAGTCTTCATTCCACTCGAACTTGGCATTCTTCTTGGTGAGTCGGGTTAGAGGAGCTGCTAGATTGGAGAATCCTTCAACGAACCTGCGGTAATAACCTGCCATTCCCAGGAAGCTACGGATTTCCTTAACTGATGTCAGTTTCTCCCAACCAAGTACCGCTTCAACCTTTTCAGGATTCACTGATACCCCTTCCTTCGATATGATGTGTCCTAGGAAGGCAGTTTGCTCAAGCCAGATCCACACTTACTCAGCTTCGCATATAGCCTCTTGTTTCTAAGGACTTGCAAAACTTGGGCCAGATGGTGAACATGCTCTTCTCTGTTTTTTGAGTAGACTAAGATATCATCGATGAACACGATGACAAACTGATCCAAGAACTCTCTGAAAACTCTGTTCATCAGATCCATAAAGATTGCCGGGGCATTGGTTAGCCCGAATGGCATGACCAGGAACTCATAGTGTCCGTACCT